ACAGGTCCAGTCCCAAACCATGCAGGCTTGGAGATCTCAAATAAATCACAAATAAATATGTGCTGAAAATAACCAGTAGGAAACGGGCTGGGACGGGCGTGTGGGAGAAACAGAATTTCCCGCACACCCTGCACCCAGCCCTGAGGTCACACTGCAGAACCTCAAGAGTTTGAATGAAAAATGTAAGCAATTTTTTTTCTAGAAAATGAAAATGTAAGATAAAAGTCTTCAGGTCTTGCCAAGACTCAATCAAGGGGAAAGGCGAGTCATGGAAACAAAATCACTCACAAAGGGCTAACTGGAAAAACGCAGTGACAGACTTGACTCTTTCTGGCTGGAGCGGCCCTGCCTTCCACTCTCAAAGCTTCCTCCACAGCCACAGTCAAGTCAGGGTGGGACGGGCACAAGGACAAACATCGAACAGCAGCAGAGAAACACCAGAAATCAACACATTTAAGGCCAATTGATTTTTGAGAATTCAGTAAGGGCAACAACAATTTTAAGCCAATTTGTTGGAACAGGAGGTTCTGCATAAGCAAGAGGAGCAGCGGCCGGAGAGACAGCACAGGGGAAGGCGCTGGTCTTGCACGCAGCCAATCTGGGTTCTAGCCCCAGCATCACATATGGTCCCCGAGCATGCGCAGGAGTGATCCTTGAGCACAGAACCAGGAGTAAACCTTGAGCACTGCTGGGTGTGGACCAACTCCCATCTCTCCCCAAATGGAAGAAACTGGACACTTCCAGGAATCACTAAAATGCCAGTGTGAGTGTCACCATCGCAAACGAGGCAGAAACGAGTGTCAAGTTCAAAGGCCAAACACTGAACTTACTCTGAAGGCGCCCTCCGACTCCATGGAGAGAAGGTCCCCGTCGAAGGGAATGAGGTCCAGGCTGTACTCCTCCCTACAGATGAAGGAGCCCAGGACGCCCAGGTCCTTAAGCCGCTGCTCACACAGCAGGCTACGCCGGGGCACAAACAAAATGTGGAAATCTCTTGTGGGGCCACGTCTGTCTTCACTGCAAGAGAAGGACCGTGCCTTGGCACGAGGCCCCGATGCAAGTACTGCTCCCCAGGGCCCCACCTGTGCCTGACACACAGTGGGCTCTAAAGAGACGCTTATCAGCTAACCCCCCACTACTGACTCGGCCCAAGTTTCGAGTTTTCCTGCTCTCTTGATGTGATGCTTTTTCTGGAAACCGCTGACCTGTGCTCTGCCAAGGGGCAGTGCTGCTTCTCTTGGGCCATTGATGGGACATGAAAACTCTCAGGGTTGGGGCTGGAGCAACAGCGCAGCGGGTAGGGCGTTTGCCTTGCACGCGGCTGACTCGGATTCGATTCCCAGTTCCCAGCATCCTATATGGTCCCCTGAGCACCACCGGGGGTAATTCCTGAGTACAGAGCCAGGAGTAACCTCTGTGCATTGTCGGGTGGCACCCAAAAAGAGAAAAAAAAACCCCAAAACCTCTCAGGGTTATTGAAATGGACATCTGTTTCTTGCAGAAAAAAAAATGTTTCTATTTAATCAAGCGATGTCTCTAGGAAAATAAATGGTTGCTTCACACCGTGCCCGATCTTGCACAAATACCCCGCATGGTTTTAAGTCCGTTCGTAGGGGCCACGTCGATCACACGTAATGCAGACTGGGCTGGTGCACTTCCTCCATAAATGCTGCAGCATTAAACTTTAATCAGCTTCTCCTGACGTTGCTTATGAAATTTGAGCATATGGTATTCAGTACTTGAAAAAGAACCACTAGCTGTTTTTCTTTTTATAAAAATACCTGGGTCCTTCTACTGAGACAGGCCGGAGCTTCCTACTGTCCTGAGAGAGTGGGTTTCTGTGGTTTGCCCTGCCTCCCCAAGCCCCAATCCACAAAGTTTCCCATTCTCTATTTATAGTTTTTGGGCCACACCTGCAGGTGCTCAGGGATAACTCCTGGCTATGCACTCAGAAGTCACTCCTGGAAAACTTGGGGACCACACTGGGTTCCGAGGGTCTATCCTTGTCTGGCTGCAGAGTATCCTACTCCTGACCCCCCATTCTCCTCCGACACACTCTCACATCTGTCCAAAGATCCACTTACTAAAGCGCTGGCAAGCAAAGGTGTCCTGATGAGCACTAAAACCACTAGAGGAATGATTCCGTATGGACCAAGCATCAGTTCTGAGATACCTAAGCACATTTTCAGCAATTATATCCATCAGTTCTAGCCGGGCTCTGACGAAAAAAATGATATTCTTGACATCCGCTGCTTGCAAGCGGCTTCCTTTGAGTGTGAACATTTACTCCACCTCATGTTCCTAGGAAAGCACACATACAAATGGTGAACAGAACCCCTAAAGCTTAGCAGCTGACCCTAACTCAGACATCACTGCAGGCAGCCAACCCGGGTTGGATTGCCGGCCTCCCACACCGTCCCCAAACACCACCAAGAGTCATTCCTGAGTGCAGAGCTAGGGGTAAGTCTGAGCACTGCCAGGGGTGGCCCAAACAAAACAGACCAACAACAAAAACTCAGGTGTTCTAACACTCCCACTCCAAAGCACAGTAGACTGTAGTGTTGAGTCAGAGAATGCAGGGGTTACGGTACATGCCTGACACATGACTGCCAACTTCGCCCCCTGGCACCACAAGGGTCTCAAGCATTGCCATGTGCATCCCAAGAGAGGCCACTGGAGTGGCCTGGGATATCCCTGCCACCACAGCGCCAAGCCTCATCGAACTGCTAAGACTCACCACCAGGAGGTGCCCAGGGGCAGTGCTCAGGAGACCTGGGGCTAGGGAGAAAGTAGAGTGGTGAAGGTGCTTGCTTTGCATTCAGCTGACCCGGGGTTCTATCCCCAGCACCCCATACTGTCCACTGAGCACTGCCAGGAGTGATCCTAAGTGCAAAGCCAGGAGTAAGTCCTGAGCACTGCCTGGCACGAGCCCCCAAATAAAATTCAAAACCACTTTAGGATAAAAATTTAGATTCCCCAAAGGCAGGTGTATAAATTCAGGCTGAAGTAACCATTCCTGTGTTTAAAAAACTTTGAGCCACATGAAGTAACAATCAGAAGACATGCCGCTCCGTCAAGGAGAAGAGGGGGGTGCACACCCACCCTTGAAAGGTCCACTGAAGGCTCCTATGCTGCCCGAGCCCCTGAGTTGCTTGTGCCCATGTAGCCGAGCAAATGCGGTGCCCGCAGCTCTCCTTGAGATGGGGACTTTTGTGCTTTCCTTTCTAATGTTGGGATGTGTGTAGGGGCTCTCTCTGTCTTTGGAGAAGCCCACGGTCTCTCCTGAAATGCTACTCTCTCTGCTCGTCCTCTTCCTAAAGGTCACCAAATAAAATGTTTTTTTTACTTCAAATAAATAAACAAAAGGTCCACAGAAGATAAAACATTTACCACTCATAACAGCGTCAGTGATTCTAAAAACCAGACAGCTCTGCACACCACTTACTCCAGAAGTGGAACATCATATTACTCTTGCTAGAGTCCAGAATGACAGTTTCAAATAAATAATAATAACCAAAACCTTTTTACCTTTAGAAGTGAGTACTGTGCAATCAAGCCAAATGGTCCTGTGAGATACTCATCTCAAACTATTGCCTGCGGGAGAGAGAAGCATCCCATTCTTTTAGTAAAAGGGATTTCAATAACGGCCAACAGCAAACAACAGTCATTTGCAAACTCTGGACAAACAAAACTTGCCGTTAGCAATAGCTAACCACACTCCTATTTTGTGGCCTGAAGAAAAACAGCGTCAGGGCAAGGGGTGCTACTGGCCACGGAAGCACATTCACTGTCATCCACAAAGAGTGTGTATGCAGTGTCCTGGGGTCAGACTGGGGTCATGAACCCCGTGGGTGAACTGCCAAGGAAACCTTTCAACCCAGCATGTAACAGGCATCATATAATCCAGCATCAATCAAATGAAAACCTCTCGTGTAGGTATCCCATAGGTATCTTAATTCTGAGAGAGTATTTGGAAAGCTGGGACAGTGTCAGGTGCCCCTGAGAGAGTCAGGCCTCCAGCTGACCTTCGCCTCTACCTAGGCAAGGATGGTGTCACTGGGGGCCAGGATGAATGCCAAGCGGCCTGTGAGCATTTCGCCTGTGCGACACCAGGGTCCTTTTTCCCCATTTGGCATAACTGATTGCGCGAACCGTGGAGGAACAGGCAGCTGGGAGAAGTGGTACCCAGGGTAGCATGCAGCGCCACCCCGCACACGGGGACAGCGGGGAGTGCCTGGACGCGGGGCTGTAATCGTCCTGCTGAGAAGGACTCAGGTCACTCCCATTTTCCTTCCCAGAGCCAGGCCACAGGGGCGGGGAGCACAACGCCCCCTCTCTCGGGGCTGCCGACTCTGGGTGGCGCCCCCAGACCCAGAGGCCGCCACCCGCCCCGGCTGTCAGCTTGCTGCCCGCGCACATGTCCAGGAACTCGCGCAGCACGTTCAGGTTCACCCGCCTGACCACAGGTGCGTGGCCTTGGCTCCACTGGGCCCCGCCGCCACGTGACGCCGCGGTCACGTGAAAATAGTGACATCACACCCCCTCATCTCCCTCCATCCCGCTAGGGGCGCCGGGGGTGCCCCACGGAGCCAGGGCACAGGCTGCCGAGACTCAGCGCTTCCCGGGGGCTGTACAGACCCCCCAGACCCCCAGCAGAGCAGGGGCACAGTGCTGCCTCTGCTCCCTTGGAGGGACCCTCCCGGGAAGCTGGGAACGGGGGAACGAGGGCGCCCTGGCGTCATCTCCCCTGCACTGCCAGCTGGCCTTGCGAGGGCATGTTCCCCCCCCCCGCCCCACCCCGGCTCCTGGGAGCGGTCTCAGGGGGTCCTCGGGTTCCCCTGGCCATCACCGGGTCCTGCCCAGTGAGGGACCGACCAGCAGCCCCAGCAGGCCGGTGAGCGGCTCACGGCGCCCTCTGCTGGCCGCCGTGCGAACTGCACAGGTGCGGGGCCCTGCCTGGCGCGGGGGGTCCCGCCCACCGGCACCCAACAGCGCCTCGCTCAGGCCGTGTCCCCCTGTCCAGAGGTTCCCTGCCCGCCCCTCAGGGGCCGGCCCGTGGCTGTGGAGCCGCAGGAGGTGGCGCTGCCCGCGCAGCGGTCCCTGGGGGGCCTCCGGCCAGATGCCCAAGCTCCGTGGCTCCAGGTGAGTTGGCGGGGCCGGAGCAGGGCCCGCGACTCCAGGCGGGCGATCCCCTGCGCCCGTCTACCCGCGCGGGGCGGACCCCAGCCCCCCGCGCCCATCGAGGCGCACATCGAGGCCACGTGACCGTCTTTCCTGGGGGCCGCGGCGGGCGGCGGGAAGCGCAGGGCGCGCGAGTCATGGGCTCAGGGCGCGGACCCCCGGCGCGGGGGTCTCAGTCCTGAGGCATCTGTCCGCGGGGCTCTAGCGGCGGGGGCGGGGGCGGCAGGACTGGAAGGCGGCCTGGGATCCCGGTCCCTCGGGCGGGGCGGGCGGGGGCCCCTGGCGTGCGGCTTTGGGTCTGGGTCCAGCGGTGGCCTTGGGCTCAGGCTTTGGGCTCCTCATCTCCCTCGTGGGGGGGGGGGGCACCCTGCACAGCGCGGTCTAGGAGATGGGGGTCGGAGGCGACCCGGGCGGCCTGCACTTGCCGGCAGGGGGCTGTCCCCGCTGCAGCGCCCCCGCCCCAGACTCACCACGCACTCCCTCGCCTGATAGGGGGCGCCCTCCACTCCAGGTGGGAAAACCCCCAGCCAACTGAGCCTCCTAGAGCCCGCTGGCCAAGGACTGCTGGTCACAGGCCCTGAGGGTCCTCATGGCCCCTGGGGCCTCGACTTCCCTTCCTGTACCAGAAATCAACCCAGAGAGAGGCCAGTGCACAACTGCCCTAGAACCCCCGCTCAACGGCTCCCAGGACTATTGCGGGGGGAGGGGCCCAGGCTTTGATGCTTACACAAGTTTAGTGAAATTTTACTGACTGTGAGGGAGAAAAAGTTTGCCTGTGTGTCTTTTAAATACCTAATCCCAGGAAGAAGTGCTACTTCTTGAATAAATTATTACCAAGAAATGACAACAATTAAAACAAACACAAAAGGACGTGTGGGGGGTAGCACAGGGTGGGGACGGACGTTCAGTCAAGACTGGGCAATGCCACAGCCTGGAAAGGACATGAGAGGGGACAGAAGTGTGGCTCCTGGGATGCATATTGGGAGACAGACAGAGGTGCGTGTGAAGTGGGGGATCTCATAAAAGTCTGGGGTCCAGGACAGCAGTGGATGTTCGTGTCCTACTCAGTAGTTCCAATCTGTGTGCCTTGGGGATGGAGGGAATGTGCACCCCTGGGAGAAGCTGGGAGGGCCACTGGGTATTCCCTCCAACCCACCTTGCGGCACTGGGTCATGCATGTTTAGATCACATGCTCTGGGCCATAGCACCAGTGATGCGGGCAGGTGACACATTGAATGAGGCGTAACTTACAGCAACAAGCCGAGTCTCTCTGGTCCCCGGGTGAGTGGGTGAACGAAGAGCATGTTCCGAGTGTCAGATGCCTCCCAAAACTGACAGGAGGAATCGCAGACTGAGGCCCACGTTTGAAATGGCAGAATGTATGTCTGGTTAGTGAGACCCAAGATATCCGCACACACATTACAGAATTCTCATGGGTTTACGGCAAACGGGAATTCTCACAGAGATGAAAAGAGAAGTGTGTATTTCTCTCAGCGCCTGGCTCACACTTACACTCCAGATCATTAAATAGAAAGCAAAGAATCTGAGACTAACAGAGATCTCCTGAATTCAACACCCAAGGGCTGGAAATACACCGGAAAGGGTGGACTTCTGTGCAGTTAAGCTATTACATGAGCAACACCTCGCTAGGGAATAGGATCTTGTGTAGGTGGAAATAAGAGCATTTTAGTGGAAAGGAAATCTCTGATGCGACCCTGTGGGTCAGGAATCTTGACTTTCCTATGGCATGGGTTTGGGGCTGGGCTGGGGTCTACGCTTCACAGACAGGAGAGCTGGGTTGGTCCCCAGCACTGCATGGTCTCTGGAGGCAGGAATGACTGAAGAGCACTGTGTCCCCAAAGCAAAACAAAACAAACTTATTTGGTAACTGATCCCACCATAAGATTATTTTAAGAGTTCCTTGCTCTAAATCTAACACATACTTAGAAAGTCTGATTTTAAATGTTTATTCAAAGTGAAGGGGTTTAAGGAAAATGAGCAGAGTCTCCTGCCCCCGCGCCTGGCTGTCCTCGCCGGGACCCTTTGGAGGGGAGCAGGTTGAGTTTCCCTCCCCACCCCGACCAGGGCTCTGGTAGCCGAAGACCTCTACAACCAGCCACCACCATGCTGAGACCACTCTCCACAGGCATGAAGGTACTGGCAGAGGAACAAAAGCATGCGTGTCCTGGGGCTGAGATCTCCAAGCCTGCTCAGATTGGGGCTGAGCATCCTCCACTCAGATCCTCCATATTCCAGTAGGCAGAGGTTACACCCACCAACTGGCCCCGTTGTGCCCTGTAATCCCATCAACGGCCAAGACCCAGACACTATAAAACCCAGCTCCCGGAAGCATCTTATTATCTCATTCTTTCTTTGGACAAACTTGCAGGCTACCGAATGTAACCTGCCCACACGGCAGAGTCTGGCAAACTCCCCGTGGCTTACCCAATATGCCAAATACCAGTAACAATGATGAGGCTCATTCTACTAACCCTGAAAGAGCCTTGAATATGGCACTTTTTAAAAAATTCTCAGGGCTAGGACAAAGGAGACATTACTGGGGCCTGTTCGAGGCAATCGACGAACAACAGGATGGTTGTGATCGTGATCGTGAGCAGATTCCAATTTTTGGGGGGGAGGAGGGGGTCATACTGAGAGATCTCAGGGGATCCTCCTGGTTGTGCACTCAGGAATTACTCCTGGCAGTGCTTGGGGGACCATATGGGATGCCAAGGATCGAACCCAAGTTGGCCGTGTGCAAGGCAAACGCTCTCCACGCTGGAATGTCGCTCCAGTCCCACATTCCCATTCTTTGGTCAGGACTATCCAACTAGCCTGAGCCATCAGCTCTGAGGCAGGAGGGGAGGGCAGATTCCTTGGCGTGTTCCTGACACAAGCCTGGAACATTGCACAATCACCTGGCAGCCTTTCCTCGAGTGGGCACGTGTGGCGACCCCTACATGGACACGGCCAAACAGACCCCGGCAGCTGCTCCTGCTGACCAGTCCTCATGGCTAATTCCTTTGGTCTCTTCTCAGCTCTGACTTCTACCGTGCAATCCACAAGTGGCTGGAGGACATCGGGCCTCTTTACCGATGCCTGAGTCACAAATACGTGGGCCCCTTTAAAGCCACATGCTTTAGATTTGGTGTCATGAGCAACAGCAGAGGGAGGAGAGCCGGAAGGGAGGTGTCCGGGGCCAGAAACCTTTCCCAAGGGATCACACTATCCAGATTCTTTCCTTACGACTTTCATAAGAAATAAATCTCAGTCATGATGCAAATGCCTTAAAGTGTTACTGGGCAGCCTTTCAAAACGCAAAAAACAAGGACCAAATATTAGAAACTAAAAAAAATTTGAAATTTATTATAACGTGGATAGAGTTTCTTTAGTCTTTCCATCAAAGACACACAGATAGAGCAAAGGAAGCAGGAGTGGGAGGAAAAAGAGAGGGTGAGGTGAGCATGGCAGCGCGTGAGCGCAGAGACAGCCAGAAATCAGCACACACAGTGACCTCAGGACCGCGGACGCTGCCTCCCGGACCCGCAGAGTTCCTGACCAAAGCCCGAGCCTGACATTCTGGTTCTGGTATCTGTCCTTGGACGTCAGGGAAGTGGGGTACGCCGAACAGGACCACCCCGCCCCCGTCTGCTCTGGGCTTTAGCAGTGGTCGGAGCAGGGCAGGACTGGCCTTGCCTTCCGCAGCTGGACCTGTTTTCTTTTATTTATTTATTTATTTATTTATTTATTAAATTTATTTATTTATTTTTATTGAATCACCATGAGAAACTTACAATCTTTCATGTTTGGGCTACAATCACACAATGATCAAACACCCATCCTTCCACCAGTGCACATTCCCCACCACCAATCTCCCAGGAATACCGCCCCACTTCTACACCCTCCCCCTGCCTCCATGGCAGACAATATTCCCCATACTCTCTCTCTACTTTTGGACATTATGGTTTGCAATACAGACACTGAGAGGTCATCATGTTTGGTCCATTATCTACTTTCATCACAAATCTCCCATCCCGACAGATCTGGACCTGTTTTCAACCTGTCTGAAAACCTAACTTGGAGACAAGCTCCCGAAAGAAACGCTGACTTTCACAAAGTGCAGAGACACACCTTTGGCACACATCGTGTGCAGCTAAGCTGGAGATAACTACAGTCTGGGGAAAACCCGCAGCAAACCCAGGGGCTGTGTGAGTGTAGGCGACGTCCTCTCTCAGAGGCAGCAGTTCTGCGCCTCCATGTGGGAGCCCAGGATGGAGAGAGCCTCCGCCATCAGGACTGCACGCCAACAAGGCCCTTGGGGGCAGGCAGCGGTTTCTGCATGAACCCAGGGAAACTGGACCTAAACCCTTCTAGGCTTTCAACCTGAGAGCAGAGCAAATTCCTTTTAGCACTTTATGTACCATCACACTCAGATCTACATCTGAATCCTTTACAATCTCTACCTGCCGATGAAGATCCTGAGATTAGCTACAATGGAGTTGTCTTCAGATTTCTGAATCAGACACAGCTTGCCATGATTAACGAGAAGAAACAGTTCAATATTTGTTTTAAAATTTTTTAATAGTTTTAAATTTTTTTACTCCCACAAAAAAAATAAAGTCATTATTTGTTCCTTAGATTCACTGAAAGTTTTTTTCCTCCTTCGGGGTGGATGGGTGCACACCTGGCCATGCTCAGGGTTTACCATGGCTCTGGGCTCAGGGTACCACATGGGGTGCCAGGGATTGAACCCAGTTCAGCTGTGTACAAGACAAGATAGTACCAGTTCTACGACTTCCCCAGCCCCTGAAAGAATGACTTTCCATGGATGGCTGCATAAACATTCCTGGGACATAGGGGGAGAAGGGGAACAGAGGTGATGAGACAGCAGAGGGAAATGGACAAGTGGTTAAATGGGCCATTTATTTTTTAAAATTTATTTATGTATTTACTTTTGCCGGGGGTCACGCCCGGCGATGCACAGGGTTACTCCTGGCTCTGCACTCAGGAATTACTCCTGGTGTTGCTCAGGAGACCATATGGGATGCTGGGAATCGAACCCGGGTCGGCCGCGTGCAAGGCCCTCCCCTGCTGTGCTACCGCTCCAGCACTAAGTTGCATGCCAAGACGAGTGTCTTAAAAAACAAAACCAAAATGAAACAAAAAACTGGTTCCCGTTCTGACGGATGGTTCCTCCTCAAGCCAGGGGCGCCAGCCTTGATTCTGGGGGGCTGTGCGTTGTGGGGAGCGCGGGGGAGGATGGGACTCTGGTGTCTGTGTACCCCCAACTTGGGAGTTGTCTCCTGCAAATAGCACCAGGGATGAACCGACCATTTGGGACCAGCTGTGGGGGGCTGGGAGGATGAGTAGATGGAAGGACCTGAGATGGGAGGCAACCGTGGACGCGCAGCAGACCCCGACAATCGCCACTCAAGAGTACAGAGGAGGGGGTCTCCCCGCAACCAGAACAGTTGGTGGGGGTGGGGCGGGGATGCGCTGTGTCACACGGAATTACAGCACAGTAGATTTCATGAGAAACGCATTTCCCTTCCTTGTGTCCTCCATCTTCTGCAGCCTGGCAGTGGGCTGGCCTTGCGGATACTCCTGGCTCCTTGCTGGGGGCTGGGTGGAGGGAGGGAACTCTGCCTCCTGCAAAACCTGTGCTCCCTGTGGCCCCAGACTTCAGAGCAAAGCTCAGATATGCTTAGGCCCATCTGCCTTTTTCTTTTCTTTTGTTTTGGGGCCACACCTGGTGATGTGAGGGGCTTCCTCCTGGCGGTGCGCTCAAGGATCACTCCTGGCGGGGGAGGGTCCACCTGGGATGCTGGGGATCAGGGATTGACCCTGGGTTGGCCTCAAACAAGGCAAGTTCCCTGCCCGCTGTGCTATCCTGCACTTCCGCTATTTGTCCTTTTCATTCTGACTTTCGTTTGCATTTCTGCAGGAAGTTCAAATTCTGGGCCTATCTGCCCCACCTCAGTTCAAGATTTTTTCCATCCTGTTGAAGTATGTCTTTTTCTCCTGATACTCTGGTTGAAGTTTTTGTTCTCCTTAGTCATAACAGTACATGCAGAAAACGAATCTGTAACAAGATAGTTCTTTTTTGTGGCACATTTGGCGGTGTTCGGGGCTTACCCCTGGCTCTGTGCTCAGAGAACACTCCTGGCGGTGCTCCGGGGACCATACAGAGTGCAGGAATTAAGCAGCACATGGGCTCCTTTGTTCAAGGTGGCCTTTATAGGGTTTCTCCAACCTGCCCCCACGTAGGGCTTCTTCCCAGGTAAAAGTCCGTTGCTAAGGAGGTTACCAGGGAGGTCCAAAAAGAGGAATTTCATGGGGAGGAGGCCTTTATCCTCAGGGTCTGCGGATGGTCTTATCGGGCCTTTGCTTTCTGTATCAACAAGGTGGCTCATTCCTAGAATTCTTCTTCCATGAAACTTTGTTTCATTGCAAAGTGCCTTTCCCCATCTACCTGCCTACATCACAACCATTATTGCCATACTGGTCCCTACTCTATCCTAAGCATCCTCTGTCCTTTACACGTGTGGTTTTTTCCAATCATTGACAAGGCCTCCTGGCCTCCATTTTTCTAGCCTTGGATATCAATCTCGTGTGTGTGTGTGTGTGTGTGTGTGTATTATGGGCTGGAGCCATAGCACAGCGGGTAGGGCGTTTGCCTTGCTCGCAGCCAACATGGCCGACCCGAGTTCGATTCCTCCGCCCCTCTCAGAGAGCCTGGCAAGCTACCGAGAGTATCTCGCCCGCAAGGCAAAGCCTGGCAAGCTACCCTTGACATATTCAATATGCCAAACACAGTAACAACAAGTCTCACGATGGAGACGTTACTGGACCCGCTCAAGCAAATCAATGAACAACGGGAGGACTGAGACCATATATATCATATTCCACAAAATGGGTGCTTACTTATATTTGTGAAGGGACTTGGGAATCATATCCAGCAGTGCTGAGGCTCCTCTGGGCTCTGCTCAGGCATCACTCCTGGAGGGGATACTGGGGACCCTATGAAATGCCAGGGAAAAGAATCTGGGTTTGCTGCTTGCTAGGCATCAGCCTTGCCCCAGGGCTCTCTCTCCAATCTCCAGTTTACTTACTTACAACGTAGTATTACAGAATACTCACAGTACGATGTAATAATATTTGGATATCCTGCAAAGTAACCATGATTCATGTATAGACCGTTTGAATTCCCTACCATAGATTCTAAGGTCAAGGACTGCTATTGGGTATTATGAAGGCTGAAAGTAACAGTCCTACTCAAGTTCTTTTTCCAGAAATCTCAACGTGAGGACATGTGCTTCAAACGTACAGGAGTTGGAGCTTATAAGCATATTTGGTTCTGTTCATTTTGGGTTAATAATATAGCAATGTCCAGTTCTTTCCCAGACTTTATGGATTGATGGTGTTTGTACTGCTTGGTGTCCCTTCATTTTTGTCTTGTGAAGAATCACTGAAAGCATTCATTTTAAGGTACATTGACTAGGAAGCTTTGCAATAATGCAAGAAAGGTTTTGTTTGTTTTGTGGTTTTTTTTTTTTTTTTGCTTTTAAACCTCACCCAGTGGTTTTCTTTTCATTTTTTATAATTTTATTGATTGAATCACCATGAGAGCAATTACAAAACTTTCGCGTTTAAGTCTTGGTCATAAAATGAAACACCCGTACTTTCATCAGGGCCCATTCTCCACCACCAAAAATCCCAGTATAGACCCATCCCACACCCTCCCCCTACCTGTAGAGGAGATAATTTCCATATTACTCTCTCTGCTTTGATTATATTCAATATTTTGACACCGGACCCACCATTATTATTTGGTGCTCAGATCTGCTGTAAAGGCAACAGTAGACAATTTGTTTTCTACTCCTGGTTATGAATAACATATGACATCGCGTGGCTGCAGTAGTGGCTGCACGATTTTGAAATTCCACAATTTCAACCATTACATCTGGAGGAATTTCTTGCCAAAAGCTGCTGGGTTCCAAGATGAAATCAGCAGCCAGAGAGGCCATTTGTGGGTGACGACTTGGGGTCTCGTTGGGGAGGAAAGGGCCAGCTCCACCCACATCCCGTGAGGCCCTACGTGTCTCGTCACTGTGAGCCCAAACCTGACTGTCCAGTGGCCTCTGGAGGATGGCGGCCAGTGGGCTGCCAGGGGGAACGGGCCAAGGCACGAAATCTATTCCCACCTGGGGTGGCCCAGTGCCTGTAACTTACTTCAGGGACTGGACACATTTCTGCCAAAAGCTGTTGGGTTTCGAGATTTGTTTCTGAGTCTCTGGGATCATGGCCGTTAAGCAGTTCAATCAGAAACTAGAGAGGCCATGCCTCCAATTATATAGCTGGACTGAAGGTGGTTTGTGTGTGTGTCTCCCACATACCTAACTTTTGCCTGTTTAATTTCTTGGTAAACTCTGCCCCACGTTTTCGGGGTCTGGCCCAAGGCACAGCAGCAATTTGGGGGTACCTGGAAGTCTGAAGGCGCCATCAGACTGCTGATGCACTCACCTCACAGGTACAGAGAGACCTGCTGGTGGCACCATACCCCCAACCCAGTGCTTCTTACGGTTTACTCCTGCCTCTGCACTTAGCGATTGCTCCTGCCGGGGCACAGATGACTGGATGGGATTCCTGCGATTGAACCCAGATCAGCCACATGCAAGATAAGAAACCTACTCACTGTACTACCTCTTTAGCCCAAGATAAACACTTTTAAGAAAATGGCATACAGGCACAGAGCAATAGTTCAGCTGGTAGGGCATGTGCTTTGGCCAATCTGGCTTCAATCCCTGACGTTCCGTATAGTCTGCCCAAGCACTGTCAGGAGTGATTCCTGAGTGCAGAGCCATGAATAAGCCCTAAGACATCACCAGGTGTGGCACAAACATAAAGAAACAAAAAGAAATTGGTGTATCAGAATTCCATTGTAGAAACTCTTTGGCTTATTTGACTCTATAGTTCTTGATTGCTAGCCAAAAATCTTTTATAAATAAACCGGAGAATAATCAGTTATCACTGGCAAAAAGGAAATAATTTTATTCAAGTAGATAAAGAACATTGTTTGCTCTAATTTTAGTACTGCTTTACATAGTTTGTGAAACAATTTCAATCGTGTTTATTACTCAAAATGTCAATGGATTACGATCTTTCACTGGTGAGACACTTGATAATCTCCAGAGGAAAATACATCAAAAGCATATATACAATTATAGAAGTTCTTATAATCCATGTAGCCCTGATGGTACATTATTTATCACGTTTTACAGAACTAGAAAACATTCAAATGAACATAAAGAGATTCAGACTGGATGATAAACTTCTGATGGTTCAGGTCCTTCATTTAATTTTTTCTGATAAGAAAATCCAAAATTATTAATGTTGAATTTCTCATCATACATTCATCTAAAACCACAGTGGAAAAAAATAAACTTTGTAAAGACAGTAAATTGGTTATTGTAGGTGTTTCACAAGTAGCTTGCTATCTAATCCAGGAACTGCTGGAGATTTCTGCAGAGTGCAGAGAATGAGGTGGCCGGGCCAAAGTTTTTGTTGTCGTAATTGTTGAGGTCGTCCCCGTTCCCTTTGAGAGCCGCCTCGGACATCATCTCCACTTTCATGTTGAGGTCCTGATTCTTTCTTTGGAGGTCCACAATCACGGAATTCAGGAAATCAATCTGTGTTCAAGGAGAGCGTGAGACGGTGAGCCATCTGCGGGAGCCATGGGAGCCCGCCACAGAGGAGGCTGGGCCCCGCTTCCAGTCCCCGCCCCAGGGTTGGAGGCAGCCAGAGCTCCTCTTTCCCTTCCTGAGCGCAAGCTCCCGGGTGCCCAGGGAAGACCCCAGGAGGAGATGCTGGTACCCCTCGGTTCTTCTCAGAGCAGGGAGTCAAGAGGGGTCTTCCCTCTCCTACAAAGACAAACTCACTTCTTTCAAATGAATGGGGCGGGGGGAAATCCCACTTTACAAAAGCAAGCATGACTGTAGGCACAAACATTCATGTTTCACTTGAAAACTGGCAGGCGCGTTGGGTCTCAGTGATAGCACAGCGGGAAAGGTGCTTGCCTCGCACGCAGCCAACCCAGGTTTGATCCCTGGCATCCTATAGGGGCCACCGGAGAGCAGCCAGGAGTGATTCCTGAGTGCAGAGCCAGGAGGAAGCCTGGAGTATCGCCAGGTGTGGCCCCCAAAGAAAGTGTAAATAAAACCAGAAAAACAGACTGATTCTTTTTCTCCCTCAGGGCAAGTTCTGATGGCCAGTCTCTGAGAGTGCCCAGGCCATCCCACACTAGAGCCAAGAAACGCAGATCTCTCTTCCTCCATCTGAAAACAAAACAAAACAAAACAAAACATGGAAATGTTCAGTTCCCAACAAACCCATACAGGGTCCACCTGCACAGCCCACATGCAAAGTTCACTTCAGCCCACAAGTGCCCTCCAGGGCCACCGGCTGTTAAGTACAGAAGTGCAGGAAGTGAGGGTGTGCGGGAACTCCTCAGGGCACTGGGACCCATATGGTCCCCTTCCTTGGAGAGGATTCAAACGATAAAGCGCTGCAGACCCGGGTGGGATGGAAGGGGTGTTGGGGAAGGAGAGACATCAAGGAGGCCCCAAGGCAGACTCCTGCTGCAGGCCAGACCCGAGCCTGGTGATGGTAGGTGCAGGCACCGGACTGCAGCCAGGTGTGCAAACCCCGGAGGACCCCACCCAGCTGTCTCCCTTGACAGGAGCAAGAAGCAGGAAGGCAGCCCAGAGGACCAGACTCCCCCAGCTCTGGGCCTAGAGCATGCGCAAAGAGGCTGGAAAAGCCACATGCTGGTGGGCGTTTCCGTTTGCGACTGAACCTTCCTGGCAGGGAAGAAGCCCTCCTAAGTGGTGTTCGAATCTGGCAAAGTAAAGATTTGCCAATTTGATGGGAGCCCGAAGCCCAGGTTCTGGGAGAGCAGCAAGAGGAAGGGCATTGGAGGGCTCTGGCAAGGACGTGACCCCTTGACTGAAGGGATGTGTCCTTGTTCATGGGGCCTCTCACTCCTTAAGCATCACCTCTTGTGCTGGGAGCGTATGGGGGTGGGGTTCCGGCAGCATGTGCGCGGCCCCTGGTTCTCACGGGCGCCAGGGGAGCACAGCCCCTTCTTCCTCAGCTTCCCTCTTTTTGGTTTCTGTTATTTTAATGAATCAATTAATTTGGGGAGGGGGTTTTTGGGTCACAATCCAGCGTTGCTCAGGAGTGACTCCAGGCTCTGCACCCAGGAAGTACTCCTGGCGGTGCTTCGGGGACCATATGGGATGCCGGGGATGGAACCTGGGTTGGCCATGTGCAAGGCCAACACCCTAACTGCTATGCTATTGCTCCGGCATCATTCTCGGATATTTTAAATGGTAGATATTCCCCGACTCTTTTGAAGCATACACGCATATATACATATATACATGTCTGTGTATGTATACATGCTTATCTAGAACCTTTGTGGGTAGTCAGTTTGGTTTGTTTGGGGGCCACACCCGGTGGGGTAGGGACTAAACCCTAGCTCTGTGCTCAGGGATCACTCCTGGCTAGGGTGGAACAGCTCAGGCTGTCAGCAGTCACTCGAGCCCGGGAAAGTGGGGCTGTGAGTTCAGAGGGCACTGGCTGACCTACAACTGCACTCAGGAATTACTCCTGGCGGTGCTCAGGGGACCATATGGGATGCCGGGGATTGAACCTGGGAATTCGGTGTGTAAGTCAAACGTCCTCCCCGCTGTGCTATCACTATGGCCCAGGATATGGTTTCTCTCAGGGCTGAGGCCGGGCCTACACAGCCCTGGTCACTACCATCACCCACCTTACTCTGCATCATCGCATTGGTGTTCCTGGCGTCCTCCAGGGAGGCCAGGGCCTGCAGGGACGCCTCCCGCTCGGCCAGCAGCTCGGTCTGCTGCGCCTCCAGCAGCGCCTGGTCTTTCAGCAGCCAGTGCAGCTGCCGCTGGAGCTTCGTGGCCTTCTGGCCCAGCAGCTCCTTCTCAGAGCCAAGGCTGTTCAGCTGCTCACGCAGGGCCGACTCCACGCGGGCGGCCTCCTCCTTCTCAGCCGTGAGCTCCTCGATCTCTTGCACCAGCGACTTCTGATCCCGACCCAGCTCCTCGTAGGAGCACTGCAGCTTCTGGATGATGTTGTCCTTGTCCTTGGCCAGGGATAGGTTGTCCAGAACCAGCTTCTTGACATGCTCCTCCAGCTGGCCCCTCTCCTCCAGGCCCTTCTTACACTCGGCCACCAGGCTGCTCTTGCTCATCTGCAGCTCCTCCACCAGGGCCTGCAGCCCCAGCTTGGCGACCTGCAGTGCGTCCTTCTCCGCGCCCACCCTCTGGAGCTCCTCCTGCACCGCCCTGCCCTCTTCCAGCACTTTCTCTTTCTGCGCCTCGAGGGCTTCTCGGCGGAGCCGCTCCTGCTGGCAGAGCTTCTCCGCGGCCCACCTGGCCTCGATGACCTTCTCCTTATCCAAGCGAATCGCTTGGTTCAACAGCCAGAGCTTCCTCTGCTCTTCCCGCAGCGAAGAGTTTTTGGCCTCCGCTTCTCTGAGTTTCAATTGAAACCACCCTCTCTCGGACTTCAGAGAGAGCTTCTCCTTCGCCAGCAATTCATTCTCTGACCTCAGGGCCCTGCGATCCTCTGACATCAGCTCCATCTCTTCTTTGGCCGAGCTTAATAAGCAAGTTAAGGACTGCAGAAACAAAAAGCGGGGAAGAATGGAAACAAGAATGAGATCAAGCAGGCACACGCAAGCCAAGCACTTCATGTGGCCTAAATACCAGAAATGAAAATGGCAGAGTAGTCTTACCTGCACACGCGTGTATACGCGCACGCGCACACACTCACACACACACGCACACACAGACTCAGGATGGAGAGGCTCAAACACAGTTAGCTTCTTAGCGTCAACATTACTACCTGCCTATTTTGTGGATGGGGGCCCCACACCTGCTGGTTTTCGGGTCTCGCTCAGGGTTCTGTGCTCAGGGATCACTGCTGGCAGGGCCGGAGGACCATACGGCATGCTGGGGATCAACCCCGGGTTGGCCGAGTACAAGGCAGCACCCTACCCATTCTACTATCAGCCGATTTGATTTTTGAAATGCCGTCTGAAATGATTCCTGACAGCTCCCCGGAAGGTGTAAGTACAGTTGGATCTTGACATTGGGGCATAAGATTTTTCCCCCCACTTCAATTCTTCTATTATAAAATGCATCACTCTGTCCTAGAAGGGATGCATTCAAAAACTAGTTTTCAATACAATTCAAAGAACTACAAAAAGTATTTTGTTTTGGAACTTTGTGCAGGAGGGGAAGGGAAAAGCAACCACTGCTTGTCAAACGATTTTCACAGGGACAAACAGAGGCAGGAAATGGACTTAGTCCCAAAAGTTATACACTTTATAGAAAATCCAGACGAATCCACCAATCTTTGGAGACTGAAGTCAACAGTTTTTTCTTGCCAAACACAGTAACAAGTCTCAAAATGGAGACATTAGTGGGCCCGCTCGAGCAAATCGATGAACAATGGGAGGGCAGTGTTTGCAGTCATTTGGGAGGGGCCCAGGGGCTCCAGGAGGACTGGCCGCACACGGGTCAGGGTCTCCCTCACCTGCTCTCCCTGCGCGGCAGCAACGGGTTGTGCGTTTTCAGTTCTGAGTCTCAATGCACACCACAGTTGAACCGCCATGTACTTTCCAGAACTTTCTGCAGCAAGGGCTATCTTCTCTGTCCAGCTCAGCAACCATGAGCCGCAGCAGGCTACTGGCATGTGCTGGGAAGCTGACCGCTGACGGCCATGTTACCGGAATGGGACTGACCTGAGCATGCACACGAGGCTGCTGGCCACAGAACTGGGCCAGCAGGTGGTCCAGAGAGGAGACGTAGCCCTGGCTGCGGTGCGTGGTAGAAAGAGGCCGGGCACCAACACACACACAGGCCACGGCCACCACTCAGCAGCCCTGGTTTCCTTTGATGTAACCCCGCTTCCGTTTTCTTTCCATTGGCTTATAGATATGTATACACACATATACATACAAGCACATATATGTATACGCATACACATTAATATATAAACTATACATGATATAAAGCATGTAAAACTAAAAATGTATCCAAATACGTACATATGTATTCAAATGCACTTGTTGTATGTATATAAAGATGGACACATAGGTACATGTTATGTATGTACACACATATATGTGTGTGTACATTCTTTTCCTTTTTGTTTTGGGGTTCACACCCGGAAGAGGTCACGGCTTCCTCCTGGGTGCTTGGGGGACCATGGGGGATGCTGGGGATCCCCGGTGGGTCACGTGCACAGCAAGTGCCCTCTTGCTGCACTAGTTCCAGCCGCTCTATTTCTCTCCACTGAGACTCAAACCTTAACATTTCTCTGATACACACTAAAAAATGCCTTTGAGCAATCAAGTGAAAACACGAAGGCCTGAACTTACTGAACAAGCTCAAAACAAAACGGAAAACGCAAGCTGGGGTCCCTGGGCTTCCGCATGCTCTGCCGGGCGCCCCGGGAGCAACCCCCTTCCTGCTCTCACAGCCGCTGCCAGGTGGGGGAAGTGTCTGCGGCTGCAGGCCAAGGCCCCCCAACAGAGCCTGACCCCGAGACGGCCGCCATCAGCCGTGGCGCTGCCCTGCGCCCACCCACCTTG